AATGTATGAACCAAGCCAACATGCTCCATCTCCAAATAATAATTGAAATAAATTGATGACTTTAGATATCCTTGAACTCCAGAAAATTTTGAACGCAAGCTGTTCTTGAATTCCTCCAGGGGTTTTTGCCCACAAATGTTCTTTCATAGCAATGTAGTTGACGGTCTTTGGGCAAGTTAGACATAAACATACAAGATGATAACAAGTAAAGGGTCAGCCTGCCGAAGATTATTATGTTGAATCAGATTTTATCTCATGTTTGACTATACTTTGAGGCGTAGGATTTATTTTCTTTGCAGTATTATAGTAACATATTAGAGACCATGTTGTATAAAACCTGATAACAGTGTGTGTTCATATTAGTAGGGCAAACAATTACCCAAGGCTTTTTCCCGTTAAGCAAACAAAAAATATATATTTTCAAACTGTGTACATAACCATACAATTGGTAAGGACCATGTAAGTGTTGGAACCAGTCGCTTATAAAGTGTGTTCATCCACAACAATATAATGGGCAGAAGGAATCACTTTGAAGAATAGAAGGGAAGATTCACTACCAAGGCAACAGTCAGATAAAAGAAACCCGAGTTGGGGGTTCTGAACCTTAGAAAACTTCCCCAACTAAAACCCTCCCTAGTTCTCATAAAGATAAAAGGGGAATTGATTCAGACTTGCAAAAGTCTGTTCCATAACCTTATAATAAAAATAGTATTGGCCTGCATAACTTTCCTCATCTGATCTACTCTGAAGAGCTGATAGAAATATACATCTCCTGTTCCTGTTTGAATCCATATAATAAATTCAAGCTCACTACTCCCTTTAATAACTAGTTCCCTTGGTTAGAAAAATCTTCACTCATCAGTAGCCCCCAGTGAAAGTGCCTTGGATTATTATGAATGGCTTATGTAGACTTGATTAGTTTATTCATCATAGTTTAACCATGGTTTTTGAACATGCCACCATTGACTTGCACCATATACTATGGCAAAATTAAGCAAGCTGTGCTGTGGATTGGCCTGCTGACAAGTTTGAAAAATAACAGTCATTATAATTTATTACACTTTTATTATATATTGCCTACCTCAGGAAGAGCCTTAATAAGAACTGACACAAAAGATTTGCTCATATATATTAAACTCTTATCTTTGTCATCCCCCTTCTATTTTTAATTATACTGTCATTCTTCTTTTCACCAATGGTGTTCTATATTACAGGTATAATTAATTCTGCCCTAAAGCAGAAACACTTGATTCTAGCAGGGTCATTCCAGAAAGAGAGAAAATGATTTATTCACCTCCTGTGGTGAGTCACTAACGATGTCCTGCTTGTCTTCTTGCTCGTCAGCAACCCAGTCTTGCTTCTTTACCTATTTAACTATTTTCCTCTGCACATCTTAGATCAGGGGTGTCCAACCTTGGCAACTTTAAGACTTGTGGACTTCAACTCCCAGAATTCCTCAGCCAGCTTTGGGAGTTGAAGTCCACAAGTCTTAAAGTTGCCAAGGTTGGACACCCCTGTCTTAGATCTTATCTGCTCTACTGATTTTTCTCAAGATAAAAATATGGAGAGATCAAATAACAGCTTCAATATCTCACCCAGCCCAGTTTTTTTAAAATTTACTTAGTCACCTATTAAATTTATATGCTGCCCGTGTGAAGCAACTCATAGCAGCAAATCTGTATAGAACTGTAAAGGAGACTTTCAAAATGCCACAGCAATGTGTTATTAAACACTGCAATAGAACTGCCACATTCCTTGGCTCTTTCTGTTTCCCCATCCCTTCATGGTATCAAACCAGCACTATTCAGCTTCCATTTACTATATCTTTGGTCAAACTGAATTGAAGACATAACAAAGCTGATCAAGTGAGTCTAAACATGGCAGCTTGGAAAGTCAGATCAGAAAAACATTTTGCTCTCCTCCTGCCCCCAAATCAATGCTTTTGAACATTGAGGAGTTCAAGAATGCAAATAGAACCATGGACGCCAAAGGGAAATGCAGACTAGCATAACCAGGCAGGGGGTGGGATTCAAATTTTTTAACCACCAGTTCTGTGGGCATTGCTTAGTTGGTGGGCGTGGCTTGGTGGTCATGTGACTGGGTGGGTGTGGTTTGGTGGTCATGTTATTGGCTGGGCGTGGCCAACTCAATATCCCTCACATCAAGGCATGCATCTCCTCGCCTGGCCTCTCATGACTGTGGGGATGCTGCAACAGTCGTAAGTGTGAAAAATGGTCATAAGTCACTTTTTTCAGTGCCATTGTAACTTTGAATGGTCACTCCACACAAGCAAAGTACCAGCAAAGGAGAGAGAAAAAACTCCAGAGAAGTTCCTGAGACAGGAAGTCTAGTCCTGCCAAGAATGTAATAAGGGTTAACAGAGAGGCTGTTTCTGTAAGCAGCACCAGAATGTTTCCTTCCTGCCTTCCTTACAGGATTAGGCCAGTAATTTCTTCTAACAACCGGTTCTCCAAACAGCTTAGAATGTTAACAACTGGTTCTAGCAAATAGGTGCGAACTGGTAGAATCCCACCCCTGTAACCAAGTGATTATCCTATAGAAAGGATTTGGTCAGGTAGTGGACAAGACTCTTTAGTCTTGTGTAAATCTCCAAGACCAAAGACCGATAAATGATAAAAATAGAGCTTGCCAAGTAAAATCGCACCAGCTACACTTCCGTTAAAGGCAGGCTGGTAAACCTGCCTTTATTTCTCATTTCTCAGCATCCTTCTTCAGGGCCTCCACTGCCTGAGCATGTACAAGTCACCCTTCAGGAACAGCCAAAAGACAGCCAAAAGTTCCCATATCTGAATAAAGTCCAATCTAAACCCCACCTGACAGGATTTCTAGATGTAATTAAGGAAAGGAGACAAAGGGCATTGCCCTTCCAAAAAATAATATACGAACTAAAGCATAATTATATTTCAATAATTCCTTTCCCTCAAAAAAAGGATTTTACCAGCAAAAAGTAGCAGATTGTGTCCCTTCTAGGATAAAAGAGTTGCATAATTTAAAATAATGTGAACTTTTCTTACTTAAAAAAAACAGCATAACTTAGAGCTATATCCACTTCTGTCCTTCTCATTATATTTGCTCACTCTAATACCCTATATAAGCATTGGACTATGATTGTCCATAAAGGAATATATGGTTTTCTTTCCTTTACATGTATTTTTCATTTTGTCTTTTTTTGGTCCTACATTCCATTTCTGTTCCCACCAGAGGGTGCACAAACCTTTTCTTGCTTTAAAAGCTCACAAGCTCACACCGATTTAACTATAAATCACTACTTTTTTAAATTTTGATTTAGTTAATAGAGCAAACCAGTATTTCTGAATTTTAACCAACTTAAGGTTCTCCTGAGACTTATTTTTCAGCCTACAAGAGGTTGTCCCAAAGTTATAATTTTTACTGCTCTCGTGTTGATGGGGCAAGCCCAAAAAATGTTGGGCATTTTTTTCAAATGAAGGAAACACAGAGATGGGGGAGGGGGGGGGTGAGGATTCTATATTTTATTCCGGATCCAGGACAAATTCCTATTTTATCCAGTGAAATCATTTCCTTCTGACTCAACTGGGAATATTCACAACAATAAAATTATTTCCCCAACATGCCATGTCTTCATTCCACTGAGCAGAAGGAGCCAGAAACAACCGATTGTTTCTTCCACCAAAAACGATCAACTCCTAGCCTCAACAAAACTCATTCAGATTTAAAATAAGGGCAACCCTTTCCCTGTAGTTTTTCCCTGTCTGATTTCCATAGCCTGAATTCTTTGTTTCTTCTCATCGCTCAATGTTGGTGATGATTTTTTTATTTTATTCTATGCCATGCCATGCTGAAAATTTCACTTGGTATCTGCCTTTAACTTTATCTACTGCCCAAAACCCAACCTGGCTAGCCTAGTGGCTAAACTAACATGCTTTGCAAGACTGAGAGCCAATAAGATGCTAATTGAATTCATATTTTGAATAATATACTGCTAAAAAAATAAAGGGAACACAAAAATAAGACATTCTAGATCTGAATGAATGAAATATTCTTATTAAATACTTCGTTCATTACATAGTTGAATGTGCTGACAACAAAATCACATAAAAATTATCAATGGAAATCAAATTTAACAACCCATGGAGGTCTGGATTTGGAGTTACACTCAAAATTAAAGTGGAAAAAAACACTACAGGCTGATCCAACT